AGCTGGCAGGGCCAATGCTGTTCACTGAATTGGACCTCAGGGGGTAATTCAAACTGATCCAAATACTAGAGGGTAAGGAGCAGAAGATGGCCTTCTAGACCCAGTGCAGCTGCAAGTATACTGGGTTATTATGTCTTGCATTCTCTGCTCCATCCCTACCCACTTTTAGAGGTTCGTGAACTTTGTAGTATATGATTTGCTGGAGTAGTTTGGTGGCCATCTATCTCAATGACATCCTCCTCTATTTCTGCAAACCTGCCTTGCATATCGAATCAGTCCAGGCCATCTTGTAACACCTAAACCAGTAATGGACGTTTTCTAAACTGAGGAACCATCAGTTCAAGAAGGAGGAGTTGCAAAAGAGATAATGGAACAGGAAATTCCAGTTTAGGTACAGGCCTTGGCGTATTTCTGAGGTTCCTTCCAACTTGGAGTTGGTGCTTTTATAGGTGGGAATTTTGGAGGGGTGGCACATAATTGTCTTGCATGGAGTCCACTAGCTAAGTCCTCAGAGCGTGGAGCTCGCATGGTAGTAGAGAATGCCTGCATGATGAAAGACCTTGTAGAATGCTGCCATCATTTCACTCCCAAGTTTTCTGCTCTGACAACACTCTATGTTGACTTATTAAACCACCTGCTTCAAGGCTTTTTGGTAGATTCCATAGGTGGGAGGAATATTCTATGGTCTTACAGACTGCTTTGGCTGGAACTCTCTCATATGCTACCCTCACTCATAGAAATAGTTCATCATGAAGACGGATTGAGGCATCCGATGTAATGGTGTTGGCCATCCTCTTGCTCCTTCCACCACCCTTCCCAATACCCCAACCTTATAAATAATTCTTCCACAACTTGGCTACCATGGAAACAGTACAATAAGGTAGAATAACATTGAGTGAAAATGTCATTTTGACTATTATAAGTACCCCGATTAGCTACAAATGACATATGAAGGAAGATGCTATCTGCATCCAGAGAAAGAACTGATGAATGTATATATGATGATGTATGTGTAGAATGATTTTACATATGCATACATCTTTGTGTCTAATGGTAGCCATCTCTAGGGTGGGCAGGGAGGGGGGAAAAAGGAAAATGAATAGCAAGTTATACATGATAGATTTGCAGTTTTACATGCAATTATCTTTTTTTAGTATACTATGTACGAAGGACAAACAACAATGTTTTGGAAATGCTTGCTTTATTTCATAAATTGAAAAGAAAGAAAAGAAAGAGCTATCTGCAGTCAGAGATTCATTTGAGTTAGGAAATAACCATCTGGAGTGAGCATGGCACTGAAACACTATCCATTTTGTCCATAGCAATATATGGAGTATCTTGAAACCACCTGGATGTTTGACCAACACCACACTTATTGGAAATATTTTTCATGATCTCTACTTCATCATCCCCTATGTTCCAGGATAGATATTGCAGTTTGCAGGCAAATGCACTATTGTATAAACTAGAATTTGGACCTTCCTACAGATCATAAAATTTAACTTTAGCTGAACCTGTGAATTCTGATCTGCTAGCAATAGGTCTGAGATGCCCAATCCATTTGAGGCTGAGATACTATTATTCAAAGGGTTGATTTGTATGCTTGGTCTGCACATTGGATGAAGACAATAGACTTAGAGGAGGAAGGGAGTTTAGAGGCCATCTAGATGAGGAACTGAGGCCCAGAGAAGTTAAATGACTTGCCCAGAGTCACTCAGATATCTAGTAAGTAACTGAGATTGGATTTGAACATGGGTCTTTCTGACTTTCAGATAGAGTCCAGCATTCTATCCATTACACCATACTGGAAGGTGAGTGATGGGGGACGTGGATCACTCACCAAAGGGGACTGGGAACAGTTGTCTGCATCACAAGTCAGCACAAAACCCACACTTAATTCTAGGTTCATGGGGACCATATCACCATCTCCAATACCCAATAGACTGGCAGGGTTATGGGTCTGAGCAAAAAACATGGGAGCCTATACTTAATATGCTTATCTCCAGAGTTGGATAAGGCCCGCCACCAGTGCTGTATCACCAAGACATGGCCTCAAATTCAGAAAAGCATTCTTTAAAGAATAGTCATCTCATGGCAACCTTGCCTTAGCAGGCAAAAAGTCAGCTTGACTAGCTTTCTCTCACTATAGGGCTGGCATGTTGTATCAGCCAAACCATCATCGTGCTGTTACCTACTGACTGCCTTTGTGTTTGCAATTCCAGAAGACTCCCTGGTTCTGAATGGTTACTTTCAAGTATTTCCTTGCCCTTTGGTCTTGTATTCTATTGAACTCTGGCCTGACATGACGCACCCTATAGTTTGCTTTTTTCTGATTAAGGCTTGGATTATGATGATTTTATCTAGCGGTGATTCTCTCTTCAGGCCATTTTGATTGTCTTAAACCTCATCCAACTAGGGACCCAGGACAATCTAGGTTATTTATAAAGCCCTTTCAGACAGCGTGTCATAATTTCCCAAAGCCTAAGAATCATCACTATTGGCTGACTCATTAAACTTTTGGTCATTAAGGAAAAGTGGAAGCCCCCAAATCTAAAACTTAAGGATGCTGAAAATAATGCCTGAAATTGAGATTATTCTATTTAAGGTATGGCAAGGAGAAACTTAGGCTTGCCTCATTACAAATCTGAACAAGGGAAACAATTGTCTCACTACATTCTAGAATATTTATTGGTTTGGGGTACACATTTTATTTTATTTTAAACTTTATTGATGATCTTTGTTTTAACATCAACAATCCTTTCTTGATATCTGTCCCCCTCAGGAGTGGATTTTGTAGCAAAAACAAAAATAAAACAAGCAAAACCAACCAACATGGTGACTGAATATAACAGTATATCCAGCATTCTGTACCTGTAGTTCCTCTCATTTCTACCAAGAGAAAAGAAATCCTTTTCATTTGTTCTCCATGGCCAGGATTGATCATTATAATTAATCATGTTTTGGTTGCCTTTCTGTCTTGTTTTCATTTGCATTATTGTATCTCTAGAACTGTGAGCCTATGACATTATGATTCTATGATCCTTCTCATTATGGGACTGACTTCATCCCTCTTCAGAGAATGTCTTTATGGAAATTGAGGCCGTGGCTTGGTGATATAGCATTGGAAGCCTTTAATAGTTCTGCCTCCTTAATTCTGCATCAGTTTATAAAGTCTTTCCCATACTTCTCTGAATTACTCCTTGCAGGGCAATAATTTTCTATCACATGTATATACCACAATTTGTTCAATTATTCCCCAGTAAATGATCACATACTTTGTTTATAGTTTTTGAGGCATTAAAAGTTTTTTTTTAATATTTTGGTATAATAGAGTCTTTTTTTTTGTCTTTGATCTACTTGAGTTACATGCTTAGTTGAATTAAAGGGTATGATAAGTTAAGTGAATTTTCTAGTGCTATTTGAAATTAATTTTGAAAGCAGGTGGATCAATTCACAGCTCCACTAACATGTATTAATATGCCTGTTTTCCCTTCCAAGACAACCCCTCCAACATTGACTATTTCTGTCTTTTATCTCCTTTGCCAATTTAATAGTGTGAAATTAAATCTCAGAGTTATTCTAATTTGCATTTATCTTATTATTGGTGATTTGGAACATATTTCATATGGAAGTTGATAGTTTGCAATTCTTTCTAGAGCTATTTATTCATAACCTTTGATCAGTTTTTCTCTTGGGGGTATAGCTCCTGGTCTTATATAAATTGACAGGTAGTTGGTATAGTGGATAAAATGCTGGACTTAGAGTCAAGAAAATCTTAGTTAGAATCCTATCCCAGCCACTTATTAGTTATATGAACCTGAGTGAATAACAACCTCTCCATGATTTAGTTTTTTCATCTTTAAAATGGGGATAACAACAGCATCTACACCAGAGGGTATTTGTGTGGATTAAGTGTGGTAATATATAAAGTGCTTTGTAAACCTTAAAGTGCTATATAAAAACTAGCTATTATTATTAGTATCACATATCTATGTGTATGTGTGCATGTACATATGTATGTATACATATACATATACATATATATGCATACATATTTCTGTTAATCCTTTATGTGTTTTGGATATCAGGATATTGTCAGAGATATTTATTACAAAGTTTTTTTTTGTTCCAATTTTTCTTATTCTAGCTGCATTGATTTTGTTGATAAACTCTTTTTTGCTTATGTAAGCTAATAGCTATTTTATCTATTATTATTTCCTCTATCCTTTTATTGGTTAACAATTTACCCTATTACTAAAGTTCTGAAATTTCTCTCCTATCATTATTCTTTAATTTTTAAAATAACATGACTTTTTATGTTTAAATCTCACACACACACACACACACAAAATATTTGGAACATAGTGTTCAGTGGGGTTTGAGTTCTTTTAATTCAAAACCCTTTTACTTATTGCTTTATTCATTATTTCTTTTAGGATTCTAGACCTCCTTTTCCTCCAGATGAATTTTGTTATGATTTTTCTAGCTTTTCAAAGTGACTCTTTCATACTTTGGTATAGTACTAAATCTGTAAAATAACAGTACCATAATTTTCATTTTGTTGGCATAGTCTGACCATAAAAAGTCTCCAATAATTTGTTATGAATAATATTAATAATAATGATAAAATTCTTTACTTTTGGAGCATCTTGTAGTTGTATTTAAGTATTGATTGCATCTTGATAGATTAACTGCCAGATATTTTATGTACTGTGTGGCCATTTTGAGTGGAACTCCCCTTTCTATGCTTCCTTCTGGTTTTTGCTAGCATTATATAGGAATGTTAATGATTTCTGTGGGTTTATTTTGTCTCTTGATACTTTTCTAAAGGGAAAACTAGGATTCACTGACTTTACTTATAGGATATTTAACATACACATACATACACATGTATTATATGTGTATATATGTGTGTGTATGTACAAGCTTTCATTTCTATCATTTAGGGTCTTTTCTTTCTTTTGTCCTAATATGAGATTTTTATGTGCTTCTTTTTTTAGGCCATAACTTTTGTACAGAAGGACCCAAGTGTGGTGAAAATTCTGAGTGCAAAAACTGGAATACCAAGGCTACCTGTGAATGCAAGAGTGGTTATATCTCTATCCAAGGAGACTCTGCATATTGTGAAGGTAAACACAATACTTAACACAGCCATTTCAGTGAAACCTTGTGAGAAATGTAATGTCCAGTGTAAGACTAATGGGAAGAAACTGTCACAAAGCTGAGATTTTATGTTGCTCTAAATGAAGATTCCTATGGGATTACCTCTGCTTACCTGAGGTGCCAAGCAGATGGAAACATTGTCTTGTGATTATCTAATATCTTTATGTTCCTTAGTATTCAAGCCTGCTTAAGACAAATGTAACACAACTATAGGTAATTCAGGAAAGATAAAACAATGAGGAAATGTGGGAGGTAGATAAATATCTATGTTCTGCTATCACCTGGCCCCATGATTGTCAGCTAAGCCAAAAATACAATATAAATCAATGTACTTGGGATGATTATCGATTCTTTGTGTTCCATGATGAATATCCATTGAATGCAGCCTGTTCTTGGAGGGATCCCTTTGTGGTTGTGATATTAACTGTCTTCGAAATGTTTGACATCTGTGTGAAGATGGTTTGTTGCCAAGGCTTTTTTCTAGGGTTCCCTTTCTTAATGTCTAATCCTAGAGACAGAAATCCCTAGAGTCCTACAAGTAGTAGGCAGATACTTCTGTTTCTTTGGCACCTTTGGTGTTCAATATGAGCTTGATTTTTGAAACAGAAGAACCTAAGATCCTTAGCCTCAAAGGTCTTGAGGCCTGGAATTGGCAAGCCCTGCTGTTTAGCTTCAAGTACTTGTTTGACAGTCCCCTGTCCCTTAGCATGGTGGTACTTCTTTTGTAATTTTGTTGATTCCTGGTTTACTGCCCAGATAAAACCAGGGGTGATTCCAAAATCATCTCTTACTGTGGTAGATTAGGGATAGTTCTTGGTCACTGGCATTATTTCAGCATTGGGGGCCAGTTGGAAGAAAAAACAAGCCAAACTAGCAATGGCTATAACCTACTATATGGCTAGATACAGTGAGTGGGGTGGGTGAGCTTAGGAGTATCTCAACTGCAGTTGGAAGATGTACAGCAGGAGCTGTCCCAGCAGGATCCCAGAACATTGGTGTAGGTGAATCTGGCAATAGGTCAGAGTTCTAAATTCTTTCATAAGAAATGATCAGATAAAACATGACCAATCCATTAATTCCAGTCATCTTACTGATTAACAAAGATCACTGCAAAGTGGACAGAAGGCATAAAGCAAAGGTTCACATGGGAAGGCTGCAAGTCAAAGTACTGTCAATGGGAACCACTATAAAGAATGGGACTTGGGCATGATTTTAGCCTCTAAAAGGACTTGAGGAAACAAGACAGGACTCCATGGACCTAAAAATTACAGTAAAGTTTGGGGGAGCCAAGATCCTAGAACCCAAATATGGGGCGAAAGCTAAGGGTACAATTTCTGGTATAAGTAGAAGTCATGGGCTTGGTTATAGACTTAGTACATAGACTGAGTTACTGGAATTGCATTACAGAATCAAAATGGGACTAAGGATGTGGATGAAAATGAAAATATTCAGCTTAGAGTGTAGTAGAAAGAACACTGGTTTTGGTGGCAGAACGCCTGGATTTGAACATTGGCTAGGCCACTTATTGGCTATGTGATCTTGGCAAGTCATTTCCCTTCTCCAAGTCCCAATTCACATATTTATAAATTGAGGTTGGACTAGATAATCTTTAAGTTTACTTCCGTCTTTCAGATCTCATGATCTAGGAGTACTTACCTTTCCACTGCCTGAGAAATGAATTGGTCCCAAAGCCCTAGAGGTAGGTGTAGTTGAGCCACAAGGTAAAATGACCACAACTGTAGAAAGGGAATGATAGAAGAGAAGGTAGCTCATGGGAGTCCCAATAATCATGAGAATGATGATAGTCTTCCATTGGAAATGATCAGATAAAATTTAACCAATCAATTAATTTCTGTGATCTTCCTGATTAACAAAGATCACTGCAAAATGGATTGAAGTCTTCAAGCAAAGGTTGCATTACCCCTGATCAGGTTGGTTGTAAAGGGGAATTCTTCAGGCCTAGATGGCATTTGGGTTCCCTTCCAACTCAGACATTCTATGACTTAATTTGGATTCTAATTTCTAACTGTGGAAATCTATTCTAAACCATGGGAGTCTATCATAGGACTGTGGATTTAGAGGTATAAGGGATCTCTGATGTTACCTAGTCCAGCCCATTCATTTTATAGATGAGAAAACTGAGTCCAAGGAGATAAGTGACTTGCCCAAAGTCATACAGACATATGAGGGGAGATTTGAATATACAACCTGCTCCTGTGATTCCAAAGCCAGCGTTATTTCTACTATACCACTATGAATATGATGGATGGGTTGGCCACATTAAAATATGCCTTACTGCCCTGGATAAAAATTGCAAGGGCATCTTGAATGTTCTCAACTGCACTCCATGTTTGTCTGGTGTTTATTTAATATTAATTGTTGCCAATAGTGATGAGTTTCTCAACATTTTCTCATTATAACTACAGTCTGCGGTGTCATATTCTTTTAATAACTTAACACATCCCCTGAGGATTTTGCTTTGGCTAAAGCCTTCATGATGGTTATTGTGAAATTTCTTTGAAAATTTCTTTTTTTTTCTTTTATCACTAAAGCTGGGGATGTTTCTGGTCTGTAGCATTGCTTCTACTATTCCCTCTCTGAAAAGTATCTCCACTAACTCCAGGCATTGTAATGGCAATTGATGCATAGTTGTACTTCTTTCACCCTTAGTTTTCTTGGTAGCTCAATTATATAGATTTATTCTTGCTTAGAGAGATTTGTTTTTTGGCAGACTGATCCCACCAGGTTTTAGTTTTGCCTGCCAGTTGCTAATGTTCAAAGTTCTTCTAGTATTTTTTGCTGACTCTTTTCTTTTTGAAGTGTATATTTTTTTTATTTTGATACTTTCATGACTCCTTAACCTCCAAAATATGATTACTAATCTCCTAGTGTTCAATACTTTACATTAATGTAAAATGGTCACTTTTGGAGCTTTTTTGTTGTTTTTTTTAATTAGGAAATTAACACCAACCTTACTTCAAAAGAATCATGACTCCTGGTGTGGTATTTATTCCATTGAGTATATTGATTATAGATTCATAGATTTATCATTAGAAGGGAAGTTGGAAGCCATCTGATCCAATCCATTCTCTCCCTGCCTCCACTTTTTGTAAAGGGAGAAACCAGAGCCTAGGTAGGTTTATTTTGTGTGTGTGTGTATGTGTGTGTGTGTGTGTGTGTGTGTATGTGTGTGTGTGTGTGTGTGTGTGTGCGCTCAAGGTCACAAGTGTCAGAGACAGGATTTGAACCCAGGTCTTTTGATTCCAGAGTTTGAGCCTTCCATGCCTTAGAATAGAGCTTGTTAACTTTCACTGTTCCATGGACCACTTTGGCAGTCTGGTGAAGTCTAGGAACTACTGCTCAGAATAATATTTTTAAATTCATGAAATAAATACTTAAGATTGCAAAGGAAACCAAAGGCTAGTGAAAATAAAGATGTAATTTTTTTCCATTTAAGTTCATAGAGTCCATGAAATCTCTGTGTATGTGCATATATACATGTATATATATATATATACACACACACACATATACATACATATACATGTACACACATATACATGTACATACATATATACACATATACATACATACTGCCTAAAGGTGTCTGTGGGCTCCAACTTGAGGAGCCCTGTCTTAGAAGATAGTCTTCTTGAATCAATGTGTCCCCATGCCACCCCCCTAAAAAACCAGCATCAGGCTTATAGCTATCACAGGCACATGGGATTATATATTTTGAGCTAGAGAAAACCACACAGGTTATTTGGTACCCTCTCAATTTATAGATGTTTAGACTGAGGCCCAAGAATTTAAGTGTCTTGCCAAAGATCATGAAAGTAGCAAACAATGATGAATTTCTTTGTAATTAGTAGGATGGTCCCACCTTTGCTGGGCCTATGGTAAAATGTCAAGTGGTCAAAATGAACTTGATGACATGTCTCATGACACCATCAAAAACACTTTGAGTGGAAAAGCCATGGAGATAGTAACAATTCATTGTCAGTCAAAAATATTTGTTAAGCAGCCACCATATGCCAGGCACTATGCTAAGCACTGAGGATACAAAGGTGAAAGATAGTCCCTGATCTGAAGGAAGTTTGGTAAGAACTTTCAATATGTGGGCTGCAAGGTCTAGCCTTAAAAGATGGCTTCCACATCAGGACAAGGCATTGGAGGAGGATTTTTTGGAAGGGAGTTCTTCTCGTGTACAACTTGTTTGAATTTCACTTCCTCATTTTCTTGGAAAAATCCAGCCTACCACGTCAGGTTCTGAATTTTGGAAGTGACTTTCTACTCTTTCATATTATAAGACAGTAGAATCTGAGTAGCTATTATGAATGAATGAAATGAAGTACCTTGAATCGACTTAAGTTCTGATTTCACTATTGATAACTAGCCACTGAAACTAGCCTTCTTTTTCCTTTCATCATCTGAACCCTACAGGAATCCTAGAGAAAATTGTTGGCATGGCTTCTGCTATTGCTTCTGAAGTCTTGCTGTGGTTTGTTGATTCTTCTATTGTTTCTCTTTGTTTGCATATGAAGGCAATGTGGCACAGTGGAAAGAGCAGAAGCTCTGGAGGCAGAGGGCCTGGGCTTAAATTCTGCCTCTGATGGTACTACAAGTGGTACGTACCTTGGACAGGTCACAACCTCCACATGCCTTAGTGCTGGTAGAGGGAGTTTCTTCAGGTAGAGTTCTCTGAACTAATGAAATCATAGGTCTGACACTCCTCACCCAACTACCCCCCCCCAACAAACAAACAAGCAATGATTAGTAGCAGTTGTGTTACTAATAGTCACTGAGGATATACGGACAGTGGTATCATAGAAGGCAAGGACCTTATAAATCAGGGATGCTGACCTGGAGTCTGCAAACTTTTCACTATAATAATTATTTTAATATAACTGGTTTCCTTTCTAATCCCAGGTATTGGATTTTATGCATTTAACATTGTTTAACATTA